TATTGCAGAGCATTTTGAATAGATTCAATTGTCTACTAACAATGGTAATGTTGCATATTTTTTTCACAAAATAGGAAATTGGTTTGATCTTTTGGATCGATGTGTATTTTTCAGGTGACGAATAGCTGAAACAGTTTAGCTGAATAATCGGATGATTTCCTTCGATTCCCCTTTTCGAGTGTAGTGTAGAATTAATTTCAATTTTTTTTGTCAATCTAAGACCATACCAACCAATATTGTTGCTTTGTTCGACCATCGATTAATATTCTGTCAAAAAACAGCTCAAGTTATTTGTCTTTTTAATTGCTTACGATATATGTATGGAGTAGATTTTTATTTAAAGTACCTTAAGCCTCTTCGTGCTTTTTGACAGATGTACTAAATTGAATATTTTCTGTGTCGCCATCTGGTTGGTGATACTAATATCTTCTCGTAATATCACAGTTCTGATGAAGATTTTTACTTTTTCGCACGCCCATGTCGTGAGTAAAAGTATTGTAATCACTCCAAAACCTAGGTACCCCGAAAAACCATTTTTCTATCCATTTTTGACACCAAAAAGCACGATACAGTGGTTATTTTGTTATGTTAATGGGTGTGTCGTACCCTGTACGCTGTACGCAAAAAATTTATTTTTTTTTTATTTTAATAAACACCGCCAAGCTCTGGCTGAATATAATGTGGGTTTTTGATTAAGGTTTGGCCGGAAAAGAGTGCAATACTGTTACATATTTAAAATAATAAACATTTAGTAGCGATAATTTTTCATAACTATCAGTTCTCGCCTCGTTAAAAACCTGGCTCTTTTCATACATCATGCGGTATTCACAATAGTAGGAACATGAAAACGAAAAAACAGTCATACAACCAAGATGGAAATGCTTGATATTAGTCTATGGCAAACGGTCCATGATAACCTTTGGTAAACGTTTCCAAAGGAACAAAGGCTATGTGAAGCGTTTAATTACACGTTTAATTTGAGACCCTAGGACAGCAAAAGTCTTCGCTCAATTTATACCGGTGGATAAATTGACGAGAAGTTTTACGTCTTAAAGGCAGATCCATGTTGATTGCAGAGTGCATTGAGTTGACATGGACTATGATTTGAAGCGTAACTAGAGCATTTGATGCTAATTATGAATAATTCAAAATTGATTTCAGACATAAGAATATTAAGTTGCCAACTCATGGATGGCTACAACAAAGCACAAAAGCAAAATAAAAATTTACAATAAATTTGTTAGCACGATTGCTCAAATACCAGAATAGGAAACGAAATTCTGCAAGTAACAAACGTTTGTGCTTCGTTAGACTTGAAAAGCATTAAATTTTGAGCCACCCCAGATGTACCCTAGGATACCTAGCCTATGAAAAACCTTCAAGGAATCGAACTTTTGTTCGGGAGGTACCCAAAATAGGCTACCCAGGTGGATTTTATCACTCCCACTCGATTTATTTCATCAAATTAATAAGGGCCCAGGAACAACCTAGCACCCGCTAAACTACCTTTTTTCCGTATCCAATCGGTATTGAATAGTGATTCTGATAGCGAATGTGATAGCGCCTCTGAAGTCTCATTTATTCTCAACAATGTGGATTTCCGCGAGTTGGAAGAGGATGCATTTTACTACGAGATCGGAGACTTGTGTGAAACTACAAAGAATACAGATCTAGAATCAATCACAAATCATATTGTTGGAACAGAATTCTTAAATGATTTGTCAATCGATATGTTCATTATAAACAAGATTTAAACTGAGTGTTCTGTCAAATTTGCGCACCAATACATCCAATTTCATGTCCATCCATGCTTATCTTCATTTATATGTATAGAAACTTCTATTAAACGTTCAACATCTATGCTGACTGAGATTTGTGTACGCTAATCAAGCGACAATCAAACACGCACAAACACACACCAACAAGCGCATGACGATTGAACATTATTTCTGTTCTTACTCGTTTGCAGGCGATTGCTACATTCATATAGCAGCGTGTGAATGAAATGCAAACAGTCAACGTGCCGTTCTCTCCACTTATCGTAGCGGCACAAACATCTACTGTATTAAGACTCATAATAAAGCAAGCGTTTGACTGTATGCGAGAACAAAGCTGAAGGGGCGACGAAGGCTTTAACGCACGACAAAGTAACTTTGACAAATGATTTATATATGTAATGGTGCTTTAAAAGTGACAGAACAGAAATCGGCATCTCAGTTTAAATGTACTTTGGTGAACGCAAACAGAACCATACCATTCAACATGCATCCAGTCTGCTATGGACAAAAACAAGAGCGATACAAACGACTTCTAGCCGAACGAGACGATCTGCAAATAATATACAGCAGTCAGGCCAGCTTTCTTGGCCATTACACCACAGTTCACTATACAGTCTACACGGGGAGGGCAATCATGGCAAAAGATTGAACGTATATCAACGAAACATCCTCACTCGCCTTTACCCCGGAACACAATATCAATTCATCGAACCGGCAACTTTGCAACCAGATGGATGTTCCTGTGGCATTTTCTCGATTGCATACGCCACAACCATCATTTTGGGACACAACCCCACAACATACCATCTAAAAATCAATCAGCACGAAACAGACAATTTAAAACAGACCGGCGAACAACGAAACCACATCAAAAGAATACAAATAGCCTTACCTCCGTAAGACAAACTTTTCCGCACCGTTTTCATAGCGTTCAGCTTTTATTCAGATTTTGACTAGGAAATTTATAAGAATTTTCAGGAAAAAAAACAACAGTACGTTCATGTATTCCCGTGTAGACTGTGTGACGCGATATTTTTCCTTATTTTGTAAATAAATTTTCACAATAGTGAATGCGAAAAACACTTTTGCACTTCGTTCCCAGTAATACAGCGTCCTAGCGTCACTCAAAATGATATCAGTCATTTTGAGTGGTAAATCCACGCACGGAGCGTCACTCCATTTCGACCTCGTCTAGAGGTTTTTCATCTGATATCACTAATTTTGTAAGGCAATTATTCTCGGAAAAAATACACTTTTGCCAGAAAAATGTCTATTTTAAGGTCTTATCATTGGGAAATTGTAATTTTTCGGGTAAAACATTTGCATCTACATTTCACAAGTTTTGTAAATAGCAAATTTCCACTTTCATTGAAAAAAGTCCCATTATCCCCTTATTGGACATTGTAAAATGTGATTATATTTCAAAATATCCATTAAAAGAGTTTTGAAGTAATTTTAGACACATTACTTTATTGAAACATATTAATTTCCAACAACCAAAGCTCTGGAAAGTGCATTTTTTATGTATCTCTCGAACAAAAGTTCAATTTCATACATTCAGATGCAAAAATGCCGATGACCAAAATGACAACAAAATGGATATTCAAGTGTTCGTGGACTCCCATTATTTTCACGAAAAAATAGCAGTTTTCTATGACCAAAATGTCGTCAGAGGTCTATTTCACGTGTTTTCCGAACAAAAACATCATTTCCAGTGAAAATAGAGCAAGTTGAAAAATTCACTTCAATCCGACCTATTTTTCGACCATGGAATGCCCTCAGATCGCATTGTGACCACTTTTAATCGATTGCTCGTCGAAAATTGAGCGGATATGGTCTTTCGTGAGCCTTTTTCAGCCAGCAGATACGTATTTTTGGCAGCAATTTCCCGGATATGTGGCATATGCCATTTTGTTGGTATGGTAGCCTGCTACAAACGCTCAGTTTTTGGTAAAAATTGTCCGACTCATTTTTGAGAAATCGCGTTTGGTGTGAAATTTAAGGGGGTCGATTTTTCATAAAAATCGAATTTTTTCATTTATATCACATAAACATTGGCATGTGTGTATGGAACTTTTTGAAGGTCTTCTCAAATAATTACGAGCTGACTTTGCCCGATGGGCGTCGGAGTTGATCTAGTGTGCGAAATAAATACTTGTAAAAATCGTATACATGCAGGCTAGTGAAGCCATAGCCAGCTCTTCTGTAATGCAAATGTCAATCTGAGGACGGATTTCAACGTGCCCCGACACTAGCTACAACTAAGGCATATGCGCATCGGAAACCGAAGAAGGTACGGACACACGGGAACACGCACATCCAAATCAATACTTTCATAGAAAATCAAGATCAAACTGCCAATGCCCATAACTTTTTCGTTTTTGGACCAATCGGGGCACTTAGACCGGCGTTGGAAAGGTGGCGAGGAGGAGCTTCTCTTGGACACCTTAGATCACCCCCTGGGTACCCCCTTCGTAAGATATGGGTGTAGATTTGAAAATTTATCGAAATTTTCCAACCGCTATATTTTTGCCTAGACCACACTTTAGGCATGGGGGATATGGTGTTTCCGACTATTTGGGCCAAGACCTTTCCAACGGTACATAACATGCCGGGGCCCAAATAGTGTCCTGAGAAAATAGCATACTTACTGTATATATACTCGTGACGCAAAAACTGGCATTTTTGATATTTGGCTTGAAATGCACAGTGCATGGAGCGTCACTTGTCGGACTACCGTCCTCCGTGATAAAATCATGATTTAATTGGCAAAATCTAGTGTACTTGACTCAAATAACAATTGCTCAATGTCCGCACTCATTGCCATCAAATCGATCGAAAGAGTTTCCCCCTATTTTTAATACTTTAACATATATAACATTTGTACTAAATGCTACATCGCTTTCACCGACCAACCGATGGCGCTGCTAGTAACAACATATTTAGTTTATTTTTTCGGTACGGATCATTTTAAATATATACAAAAATAATAAATAAAATGAAAATTCCGAAAAATCTATTGTGTGATGTATCTCAGTTGAGTGTCGGAAACAGAAGAAAGTCTTTATTCAATGTTCTTACTAGCTAATGTCACAATGGTTTTATTCTAGTTGACAATGTGTGTGGCGCTGTGATATAAATGTAGTAATAGATTAAGTAGTTTCACACTTGCTATAATGATGTACTTTACGTACTCTACATATTGCATTTTAATTTACTTGTAGCATTGCTATCGTATTGTAGCATCTAAAAATAAATACGAAATGATAATGGTTGCAAATCGTTGCTTCTATGTCCAAATGTCAAATGTCAAATGTCAAAAATATGAACACATGACTATGACATTTCCACATTCCAGTATATTTCGCAGCAACGTCATTTATATTGTCACAATTATGTATTATACAGCGTCAAAGCGTCACTCAAAATGATATCAGTCATTTTGAGTGGTAAATCCACGCACAGAAGGGTCACTCCATTTTAACCTCGTCTAGAGGTTTTTCATCTGATCAATCTTTAGTCCATGTTTTGAGTGTCATGTTTAATAAGCCAAATATTTTTAGATAACATTAAGATTAAAATCATGGGTGTTTGGAGGTTATTGAAACCAGATTTCACAAAATTAGGGTATTAAACGGCATGAAGAATGAAAGAAGTGTTTTTCATATCGTGAAATAATTATAATGTACATAAGTATAATGAATAGATTTGTGAACAATCAAACTTCGGTTAGGGTTAGGCTAACTTAGATATACTGTTGATTTTGTCTAGTACGCCGAATTCCTAATTGGAATTCATATCAGGTCTCCTGATTACGTAGCTCCAGCTTTTTTCTTCTGTTCCATTTCATTAACTTCAATGATATCTTCTTTGAGATGTTCCAAGAAAAAGCTGTCCTCTTCGGCCCATTTGTAGAATGTGAATTGCGCCAATCCGGCAGCAAACATGTTGGCTCCATTTTGAATGAGTAATTTCGACATTTCTTTATTGCCTGTAATTTCATTTGAATGCATTTGTATGAACCGCATTTAAAGATTGGCAAAAATCCAAGTGAAATTGGTGTAAAACCTACCACTCGAAGATGCGTATAAAAGTGCCGTGTGTCTTTCTTTGTCGGTGTCATCAATTTTCTCAACTCCATGGTCAAGAATCAGTTTAACACTGTCTATATCACCTGAGTTACAAATAAACGGATTCAAACGATTTTATATCATTTTTTTAATTTAATTTTTCATTTGTGAAAATGTCAAAAAATGAGCTTTAGAAATGTTTCGACTTTAAACAAACAAGATGAACTTTGGCTTGATAATTTGAAACAAATCCAGTTGATTGATTACCTTTCATAACTGCTACAATTAGGGGTGTCATTTGATTACGACATTTAACATTAACATTTGCTCCTTTTTCAATCAGAACTTTTACGATTTCCGGATGACCTGAAACGAAAAAAAAAATCCAATTCGGACCAAAAGTTTGATTTTAAAAGTTTGTGCTTTGATTTGTCCGTTGAATATTGTGACAAAAAAAATTGAGCCTTGAGCAATTTACCGGTATTTATCGCATAATGCAGTAATGCCTGGTTATCGTTGACATTGGCTCCCTTTTCAATCAGCAGCTTGATAACATATACACTACCTACGAATTACAAATTATGTGAATTCGATGGACAAGGACTTTCAAATCAGTTGCATTCTAAATTCTCAATTCTGAATTTTGAAAACAGGAGAAAAACTAAAATATCAAATGAATATATTCAATATGTCTAGAAAACCTCCTTTAACGGCCCAATGCAGCAACGCTGGATTATTCTTGACTGTAGCCCCATTTTCAATGAGAACATTTATGATATCTGGTCTAGCTGCAAATGAAATATGAAAGAAATTAACGTTAGGTATGAATTAAAACGGCTCAAAGTCAAACAATTGTTTGTGATTTGAATCAATAATTTAGACAACTACCTTCCAAGGCAGCATAGTGAAGTGCTGTTCGATTAGAACCATCTTTTCGATTGACTTCCGCTCCATTTTCAATCAACAACTTCACAATATCCAAATCACCTAAAACATAATATCAATTGAAATTTTATTTAAATCAATAAATTTTTTGTTCATCATATAGTTCGATTTGCAGTGGAAATTGTTTGGAGATGTGTCTGTTGATTGGTGTCTTTAGTTATAACTTCGGCTCCGTCATCAGCAAGAGATTCAACAATTTCTCTGTTACCTGTATTATAAAGTTAATTTCATTGAAGAAACGGAAATCGTTTAATTCAACAAAGAGTGAAAGCGTCGATTTGAACATTCCTGCAAGTATTTACCAGAATATACTGCAGCAAATATCGGATATGAGCCATCTTCATACTTGAAATTCACATTGACACCATCCTTGATGAGTTTGGTAACGTCAGCTGTTTGATCTGAATAATTGAGGAGAATAATTATATGGTTAATGAATTGGAAATTAATATTACTTTTCAAGATATATAAATGATCTTACTCGACTCAATCAGTGCACGCAATTGAGCTTCCTTGCTATCGCTTGAATGAAAACACAAAATATTAGAATTCAGAAAGGTCTAAGACAACGATGAAGGGGGAAATGAAAGCGAAGCGTCTAGAATTTAAATATTAGGATGGAGCATAACGTAGAGAAACAAAGGAATGTTCATGGTTGATGCGATGTACTATGTTTTGACTTGTTCTAACTATCTCTCGCTACGCTTTAAATAATCTCGTTTGTCATTGCCATATGGGATAGACATAGATTCTGACATAGTCTGATCTTGTTGATCTTGACTCCTGCTGTCAAAATTTGACCCCCAACGAATTTTTTTGGACCCATTGTCATTTTGCGAACTTCGTTTTCAAAAAGTGAGGACCTTTTTTTTGCTCCTCACTTTCGTTCGAGAGAACATTTCACACACTAAATAGAATCGATTTTCAAAAGTGAAGATCTTTTTTTTGCTCTTGATTTTTTTTCCAAAACCGATTTTACACTAGATAGAATTGATTTTTTTTTACCCCCAAAGGAATTTTTGGTTTGACCCTACCTGAAAGTAGAGTGAAACTGGATACTGAAGATTTTGCATTGACGTTTCCGACTGTAAACATGACAACAATTCATATACGTGTGCTTTCAAAGTCACTTTGTCATGCGTCATTCACATTAATGCCTTGACTGATTGTGGTGAACAGTGGTGAGATTGGAAACGCCATACATTTTATATACATTATTTGTTTGGGAATTATATTTATTTTCTTTTGTTGTTGATATTCGGGCTCTGCAAAGCCTAGGCTTCATCCACGATTTGTTTTCTAAAGAAATATTTCGAAAAAATCGTGAGTTTGCACTGTCAACACTTGTGTGGTTTTTCATATGATTTTGAAGTCATCGAATATTGCCACCCGTTCACACATTCAATGAACTTGCTACACCAAGTGATAGTTTAGTTCATTGCTGACGTTTTTCAATCCGCCATACGTTTTTAAATGTGTGTGTACATCAAAATGTCAAAGTTGTCAAGAATGCAACCGTTCTCCTCGTTCTTTTTGGTGTCAGAATCTATGGGGATAGAGGAATATGTTCAAAATGTCGATATCATATTTTAAATTTAGAAGATTAAAAAAAAGATCGTTTTTGCTATAAATGAAGTTCCCAATGCGACCCATTTACTTGTAAAATCATGTTTTGTTCATATGAGTTCATAAAATTATTTCAATGTAGAGAAAAATTTCGATTTATTTCATTTTCATTTTTTAGTTCACTTTTAACATGATTTTATAATCTCAAACATATACGGCACTACGTATATTTGTTTGTGCTAAGACAAACGCAGCACAATACAATCTAAAAATATTTGTCAAAATTTTATCGAAATCTCTGCATTTTTTCCATTTTGCAAATTTCGCATTCCATGTGGCGCAAGTAGAAAAATCGATTTCACTTTCGATTTCAAAATGAACATATTTGAAATCAGGTCATGAACACTGATAACAATCACTCAATTCCCGAATTGTTCATCATTGTGTTGATGATGAGTATCAAATACCATTCTTATGAGTAAATTCACTCACTAGAATATATGCACTAGCTCACAGAGAATCCGCAAATGAAATTCAACATTTTAAAATCACCTGATTCGAATATTTATTCACGCTTCTTGATAAAGTCCATTGACTTTAGTGAATCAGTAATGAAATCACGAAACAAACTGTACAAAGAATTGTAAAACACAGTGTGACTGGTTTTTTTTTTGCTAATTCAACTGAATACTCATCACCTGTTATTCATTTACTTACTAAGTCTTTGGCCGGAATTCTGAAAATCAATCGAATTTGCATTTAATTTCAACTCAAATAAAAAGAGTAAAAAGTTTTAAAGTTTTTCGGTTTACCTGAAATTGTTCCAGCAAGAGAAGCTTCCACGCATAGAACTAGAATGCAAAATAACAACATTTCTTTCATTCTGTTTCAATTGATCACTTTATTCAAAATACTTCGACAGAAAAAACACACCGCTACTGACCGCTTATCACCGGTAACTAAATCCAAAGAAGAAACATATCGGTTTGAATCACACTGCAATTTCTCTCCCACTTTACACATTTTCGATCTCCTCTTTATAAAATATTCGGACGCATGACCATCTTGTGTGCGTCACTTTGTTGACAGAGTTTAATCTGATATTTTTTGGTTGTTCTGTGTCTAATTTACATAGTATACACGCTTATCAGCTTTATCGAATGTGAGAAGAACGTCTGATATAAAGCGGACGTTATGTATGTGCTAAATTATTCAATGGATGACCGGTAACGGTGTTTAAACACGACCTATTTCCAAATAATCAATGGACGGCACAGTCTTTTTATCCAATGGAATCTATTTCTTTCGTCATCGAATATTAACAACAAACAGACGACTTATCGAAACCAGTAGTGTGAAACCGGTCTTTAGACCCTTGAAAAAACAAAATAAAATGAAATAAATTTCAAGTGATTTCTTTGGAATTCAAAACATATATGTATATGTGCTACATTTATTTGTATTATAGAATTGTGTACTATGATTACAATCATTAGAAATAATTATCTCCAATTGATTCCAATAATAAGTAATATACGTAGTAGTTGATAAATTTTGGTCTCCGTGAAGACGGCAAACAGGCCTAGTCATGGTTTTTGGTGTGGCGTCGAGATTCCAAAACAGTTTCGAATAGTTTTTAACAATTTTGTACCTTTCAAACAAGACCTCACATGCACCGACATGATGTCATGAACATGAACAATCGATTCTTCGGAGACTCTCGTTGTTTTTGCGAAAAATTATGACTTTCTTGAGTCAAATATTCTAACAAATATTTATTTGTACGTACATTTCGAACAAAAAAAGAGATTTTTCTTCACAATTTTTTTAGCCCTTTCATGCATGTGCCTCACAAACAAACAATTTCTTTTCTACATTGAATTACAACACTAGACGACATGGATAAGTATTGAGTATTGATGAACAAATTTTAAGCTGAATCCCTTGTCAAGGTTTTTAACTTAGAAACATTTTTTCAGGGCGAAATTTTTCGGGACAAGTCTCAGTTGCAACCCCTGCTTCTAAGTGAGCAAAACTACTTAACGACCATTCCACACGAAATCAATCAAAATTCACATCGAGGT